CTTACATTGCTATTTTCCCCTAATTCCTTATCAAGCAACAATCTTATTCCTTATATTAAACCTTGACAAACTCAACTACAAAATAACTATTCCCATTCAATTTTATCTCACACTCCTACCATAAATCATTATTCTATTCCTCTTTTAAAAAAAAACTTTAAGAAAAAAACAATTTTCTTTCCCCCCCAAAAAATCTCATTTATTATAACATAAATACAAGACATTAACATACATATTCGTTGATTTTTCCTTTTAAATCCTATTCTCACAGTTATTCTCAAAAACCCATTCTTATTCACTTTAAAAACAAAGGTAAACAATTTCCCATTCTTACTTTACACCGTTTTAAAACCAAACTACCTTTAAATCAAATAAATTTACCTCAAATTATTTCAAATATCTCACCCTACAAAAACAACTCCTTGACAAACAACAAAAATCTCAAATAACCCATGTTACAGGCAAAGTTATTGAGATCTTTTAAAAAGAAATCCAACTCCTTTGATATTATACTAACTGAAATATTCTCTACAACAAAAAAAAAATTCTAATTCAAAATAGAATTTTACCTCAAAATTAAAACTCCCTTGGTCCTTTTTTTTTTTTATATAAATCACATATGGCTTCCCTTAATTAATTTTCCTTAATATTAATAAAATTTTCTTAACGTTTACTACCTCTTCCGCCCCTCTCACATAAATTACAATTTAGAAAAAAAAACAATCTTCAAACATATAAACAACTTCACAAAAGAAAAATTTTCGAAACATAAACCAAAAAAAAATTTTCTTTCTCAAACACAAGAAATCATTTCATTATGAAGTATGTATTTCTTAACTTAACTTAAATCAAATTAATTTTACTATTAACGAATGATTTATTTTTTTAAAAAAATTTTATAACTTTTACACGAACTATCAGAAAAAGAAAACTTTATAAAATAATGTTTTTCTCACTTAACCAACATCAATCTTACTATTAATGATTACTTTATTTTATTTTATTATTTTTCTTTTACTTTCACACCAATACCAGAAAAAGAGAACGACCTATAACCCTCACAGCTTACCCACCCCTCCCATTATATTTACAAACAAATTATTTCAATATGTAAGTTCGACTATTTATCATTTATTCGGGTCCTATTTCTTGGAAAGTTTCTACACAATAAATTCGTCAATAAAAAACGATAGAACGCTATATAAAATAACTATACAATTTGACTATAAAATAAAATTGATTGGCGAAATAAAATATTAATTTAAGTAGGAACATTTTTTATCGAACATTAATATTGGTGGGGGAAAAAAAAATTTAAGATAAATACCATATTTTTAGGACTTGCGATTAAAAAAATTCTTAAGCAGTAACATATTTATATATATAAAATAATACGTATACGATTAGAAAAGAGGAACCCGTTGATTTTGCAATGACCTTGAAAAAAAAACTTTTGGTCATTCACTGCCCTTTTATTTCCGTCCTTGCCCTAGGACTCCAGCCGCCCCGGCTCGACTTCCCCGGGTTTCAACTCCCTGGTTCAATTCCCTCCCTCAGTTGGTCAGCATGTCGGACCCCTATTCTTCCACCCAGGAACTTTATACGGCACAGCATTCTACCCATTTTTTCGACCACCACTCCCGATTCCCATTTCCTTTCACTCCCATATAGCCTGGCCCACACTGTGTGGCCTATTTCAAATTTTCCCATTTTCCTGTTCAATCCTCTCCATTTCCTTCTCTTTCCCTGGTTTTAATGCATCCAAACCAATCCGCGTTCTCCGACCCAAAGATTTCTCAGACGGCGACAACTCCGTCCCTTTCCTGCTATTATTATAATAAGCCACCGATATCCATACCTCACTTCCTCCAAATTTGGCCTTCCTCAACCAACTCTTTACAATTCCCACCATCCGCTCCGCCTGACCATTCGAGCTCGAATGGTAAGGCGGCGCCAGCACATGTTTCGCCCCACTTTCCACACAAAACTTCCCAAACCCTTCACTACTAAAGGCCGGACCTCCATCAGACACGATTACCTTGGCCACTCCAAACTTCGCCCATAAATTTTTCAACTTTCTGACCACAATTATCGTTGTTAATCCACCTACAACTTCAAATTCTATCCACTTGGAGTATGCATCTACTACCAAAAAATACTCTTTCCGGTCAAACTCGAAGAAGTCAACGTGTATCCTCTCCTACGGACCCGTTTCGGCCATGTACTCTTTTTATCCCTCGCAGGCATACTGGCCCAGATATTACAAACTACACATTGTTTAGCCAGCTTTTCTATTTCCTCATTCATTCCCGGCCACCACACATATTCGCGCCCCCATTGTTTCATCCGTTCGACTCCCTGATGCCCCGCATGCAACATTGCCATTACGGCTTCTCTCAGCTTGCTAGGTACAACCGCTCTATTTCCCCGTACTACACAATCATCCAATACGGTTAATTCTTTTCCTACATTCTAGTATCTTTTATCTCCCTCTCGCCATGGCCTACGCCCCATTATACATTCCTTTACTCGACACAGATCTCTGTCTTTCAAAGTTGAAGTCCGAATTTCCTCCCAGTTCACGGGACCACCTTTTAAAATTCTCGACATCGCCCTTACCATAGCCATCTCTCTTTGTTCCTCCACCCTTTCACTGTTGTCCTCAACTTCCTCACCTGCCCCACATCTCGACATAATGTCCGGCAAGTAGTTTTCTCGTCCTCTTCGATATTTTAACGTCAAATCGAAACTTCCTACCAACAACAGCCACCTCTGCAACCGCGGAGACATCATCAACTCTTTGTTATCCTTCTTGAATAAATATATCAACGGTTTGTGATCCGTATATACAATAAACCTCCGTCCAATCAAATATTCCCGGCACTTTGTCAGTCCAAAAATCACGGCCAAGGCCTCCTGTTCTATCACAGAATATCTCGTCTCCGCCTCCCGAAATACTCTGGAGAAAAATAATACCGGCCTCTCTATTCCATCTATTTCATGTAACAACGCCCCTCCTACTCCTTTGCTGGACGCATCTACCGCGAGAATCATCTCCATCTCGTTGTTAAAACATACCAAAATTGGCTCCTCCCCAATTTTTCTTTTCAGACCCTCAAATGCGGCCTCCTGTTCATCTCCCCACTCAAACTTTACCCCCGTTTTTAATAACTTGTACAACGGCGCTGCTATTTCGGCGAAATTCTCAATAAACCGATGATAGTAATTTACCATCCCTACAAAGGACTGTACCTCCACCTTACATCGAGGCCTTACCATACTTCCAATTCCCACCATATTTTTATCCAACTGCCGTACCTCCACTCCATTTATTTGATGCCCCAAATAGACAACTTTCAATACCCCAAATATACTTTTCTCTCTACTTGCACGCAACCCCTTCTCTTGTATCCTCTGAAACACCTCTTCCAGCCTTCTATTATGCTGCCCCGGCGTTACCCCTGTTATTAACACATCATCCATGTAATAAAATACCCCCTCCAAACCCTGAAACACGGCCGCCATAGTCCGCTGAAATATGGGCGCTGAAACGCTCAACCCGAACGGCAACCTTCTAAAGGCAAACAATCCCTTCGGAGTAGTTATCGTTAACAATTTTTGCATCTCCTCGTACCCGCAACTGCAAATATGAGTTCGAAAAATCCACTTTCGAAAAATATTTTCCCCCTTTCAAACTAGCCAATATTTCCTCAATCCTGGGTAACGGATATTTTACCTCCACCACCCATGGATTCACCGTTACCCGAAAATCTGCACATAACCACAAACTCCCATTGGCCTTTTTAACGGGTACCAAAGGCGTCGCCCACTCACTGTACTCAACCGGGCCCACTATTCCCTCTTTTACCCAACGATCCAATTCTCGCTCTACCTCTTGCCTCCATTTAAAAGGTACTCGCCGAACCGCACAATATTTTGGAACGCATCCCTCCTTCATCCGTATTTCCACCTCATAATCTCTTAAACAACCCAACTCCTCATTAAAAATTTCCTTATACTCCCTGGTCAACCTCTCTACTTCCTTCTGCAGACATTTCAATTCCTTCTCCAACCTTTCCGGTCTTCTTCCCTCATCCACTTGCTCCTTTATCTCCTCGCACGGTAATTCCCCATTCCCTACACCTCGAACAGGTTGTATCACTTCCTTCTCCTTCATCGTCAACCTCCCTCCTTCCATATTCCCCAACATATGATATTCCCTTACCGCATCTATACTATCATTCACTGTAATTCCCTCACTTTCACCCCAATACAGAGAATTGCCCTCATCCATTTCGATGTTATCCCTTCCTTCTCTCCACTCCGCCATACCCTCTGGCTCTATTTCCTCCCATTCATCCATGACTGTTTTCATGATTACTTCTCTATTCTCGCTATCTATGGGGACAAACACACCCCATCTCGCAAATACTCCCCAAAAATCATAAGCCCCACCAAATCTCTTGATCCAATCCCATCCCAACACGGTTTCTACCCTCCTATCCATTATCCACAAATCCAACACTTGTAGCTCCCCCATATACAAATCCCCGATCTTTACCCGGCCTCTGACCGTTATCGAACCATCAAATTGTCTTACACAAATTTCCTCTTTGCTTATAACTCCCCTCGGCCATAATCTGCGATATTCCTCATACCCCATCACGGATATAGCCGCCGCTGTATCAAACAACATTGATACAACCTTTCCATTTAAATTAAACTATACCCTCGGACAGGGATCATATACCAAACTCCCTTCTCTCTCTCTCCTTGCAACCCCCGCATATCTCCTTTGCTTTTCCTTGTCCTCATACTCCCTTCATACTGTTCCCCTCTCCCGGCCGGCATTCTCTTTGCCTTGCCATCATACAGTCACCTCATTTCACAATCCCTCGCCCAATGCCCCTCCTGCCTGCATTTAAAACATACCATCCCGCTCTCTTTAACTATCTCCAGAGTCGTGGCTCCTCTGCCTTCGTTTTCAATTTCTGCCATCCTCACATTAATGGCGCTCGATACCCTCTCGTATTGACATTTCCTACATTACAATTCTCTTTCCGATGGCCAAATCTACCACATCCAGCAAATCTGTCTTGCTTACTGGGACAAAACGTCGAAATGTGACCACTCTGGCCACACTCAAAACATTTAATATCCCGACAATTACTGGCTATATGCTCTTTTATACCACATTTATAACATACAATATCCCTATTTCTCTGCCCTTCCGTCCTAAACGACTTTGTCAAACCTCCACGACCTCTATATACCTCCATTCTTCCATCTCCACTTTCCTTTCCTTCCCTGCTCCATTTCAAATCCTCATTACTTGCCCATCCTTGCAACATTTCTTGCACCGGTAACCACGTAACTCTTCCATACCTATCTTCTTCCCCGTTGTGCCCTTCTATCAACAACGTCTGCCCTCGTATTTTAATACTCCTATTCCGGCGCTCTCTCCTGCCAAAACACAAACTTCCCAACCAAATCAACAAAATTACTATCGCCCCCAGTATATTATACTGTACTTCTACATATTTAGTTAATTTAAAACCTTTCATTTATATCATAAAAATATTATTAATAAAATGATTAAAGGACAAAAATATCTCTAATTAATTAATTTATACTAAATATTCTAACAGAATAAAATATGTATCTCAAAATATTTACTACAAAAAGTTAATAATTAACTTAACTAAAAAAATCTTAACTACCTGAAGAGTTAAACAATAGGATACAATTAATAAAATTAATACCGAGACAACACAACAGTACATCAGACTCTTTAAATCCTTTTAAACACAACTGTAACCCAAAATACAATTTTTCCTCTCCCCGTTAATAATCCGGTACTCTACCGAATTTTTCTCAAAAAAAAATATTCCACAGAACCCCTGTGACTTTAACAATAACCACGGTACTTTACCGAATTTTCCTCAAAAAAAAAATATTCCACAGAACCCCTGTGACTTTAGCAACAACCACGGTACTTTACCGAATTTTCCTCAAAAAAAAAATATTCCACAGAACCCCTGTGACTTTAACAACAACCACGGTACTTTACCGAATTTTCCTCAAAAAAAATATAAATAATTAATAACCTTAAGGAATTTTAGAGCTATAATATAACAAAATTAATTCAACCAATTTTTTTCCAAATTTTTATAGCAAGGTCAATATCGTAATTTAAACTGCGAGCTCATTGGAGGAGCATCATTGAAATTAGAGGGGGGGGGGGTAGTTAGTTATGAAATAATTATCATTATTTGAATAAAATTGGAAAGGGATGAATGGTATTTTCTTTTTTTAATTATTTATATTTGGTAGGAGGTTAAAAGTTTTGAGAGGGTTGATATCATTTATAGATATGTATACAAGTCCCTGATTATATTCTCCGCAGTCCTTTTCTTATGTTAAAATAGAAAATGGTATAGCAAATATTATCTTATTATAATAGATCCCTTTAGGTCATATTTTTTTATATCTAATTTACATATAGAATAAATATCCTTACAAAATAAATTTCATTATAAAAAGCTTTTTGATTGCCAAAACCACGGTTGTGCATTTGACCGGTCAAATATGGTTAAAATCAAATAAATATTTTTTAATATTGAATATCATCCTTTTCTTTAATATTTTTTAATCAATTTTCTTTTTGTCTAAATCTTCAATCGATTTCTGTTTTAGTAAGAATATTGACACAAATCGACCAATTTCTTTCTGAAGGAGAAGTAGATGTAGGAATTGTTAATGCCACTTCTCTTAATGGCCATTGTGGTCAAAACTAATTTCACTGCTTGAGATTGAAATCTGATTGCTTCTTATGGAAGTTACTGCTTTCCCCATGATTTTCTAATTAAACAAGCCGCTTTTATTTCTAAAATTTATGATATAACTTGAAATATTTTGATCACCACCTTGTATGCCTAATTCTTTTATTATATTACATACTTCATTAAATTCACTATGAGTAAAATGCTCTCCTTGGAACTCAATAAATAGCAGCATTGTGATCACATGTATTTATATCGTTTTTTCTTTTTCAAATATATTTTTATATTCAGATCTTATAGAATATTTGACCATTTGACCAGGTCAAATATTCCCCCATTCAATTGACCCGTCAATATCTAGTCATTTGATTGGTCAATTGACTAACTTGCTAACCCTGGAGAAAATTGATTGATAAATTTATAAATATTAAGTCATCATACAATAAATAGGAATGCTATCCGGATATCTCACCAGTAAATATCAAGATTTAACTAATAAACTCAATGATTAATATATTGATAAAGCTGAGTTCCTTGTGCGTGATTATTATAAAATAAAAACTTCGAAGAAAAGGATAGGATAGCGAAAAAAGTGTATTTCAATAACAAATTTCATAAACCAGATCTAAGTTTATTAATCATTATATAACTTTTTTAAGGTTAAAAGAAAATTACAAACTATCATTGAGAATCAATCTTCAACCTATTTTTAAAAAATATATTATTCAAATAATAAATTATAAAAAAATGATTCAGAATAAATAATTCATTATTAGCAATTATCGCGATATTAAATTCCTATAATATCTTTGCTATATATGTTTCGCGATATATGTTTCGCGAAATAATTGTCGCTACATTGTCTTCGCGATTTGGGTTTCGCGATAATAACTTCGCTATAAAATATTCGCGATTATTGATTCGCGATTAAAGTTTCGCGGTAATGTATTCGCTTTAAAGGTTTCAAGATAAAGGTTTCGATATAAAATTTTCGCGATTATTGATTCGCTATAAAAGTTTCGCGGTAATGTATTCGCTTCAAATGTTTCGCGATAAAGGTTTTGCTATAAAATTTTTGCGATTATTGATTCGCGATAAAATTTTCGGGGTTATTCGCATTAAAGGTTTCGCGATAAATGTTTCGCTATAAAATCCATTCGCGATAAAAGTTTCGCGAAAAAGTATTTCGCGATAAAAGTTTCGCTGAATTGACATGTAACCTTTAAAAATAAACCAAGGAAATTAATATTAAAAAATTTCATTTTAATTTTGTTTTTAATGTAAATTATGTTTTAGCATTAATTTAAGGAACAAGAAGGACAAAATTTTCCAATCTTTATTAATTTTGGCTTATATTGATACAAGATTTTGCAAAATAGGCTTAATATTTCTAGATATTAGTATGGAAAAAATTAAAATTTCTTCTGAATATTCCTATATTAAAATGGAATAACGATGAAAATGCAGAGATGTATACAGATCATTTATTTTAATTAATCGTTTTTCATTTTTATATATAATAAGTTTAGTTTATTATAATCATTCAAATAAATCTCAATGACATAATAATAATAATTTATAAGCATGATATGAAATTTATATATATTTTATATTATAAAAAGTCTTCCTCAAATCCCAAAAAATAGTATAGCTACAGAAAATTTGAAGTATGATAAATATTTGGACATCTCTAATCAATACCATTTTGTGCCAGTCATCATAACCCCTTCTTGTCTTCAAGTTCGAGACCTAATCATAAAATTAGGCAGACAAATTTTAGTCAAAACAAAGGATTCTAAAGAAGGATTTTATCTTTGCCAAAGACTTGCAATCTAATTCATAAAATCAAATTTTTATTGCTTTATTAACTCATTCCCATCTAAATTTTGCTTGTAATATAATGACACCTACTTTGTTATTCCTTGTGCATGTTTTATTATATATATTTAATTTGTCAAAGTGTTATTATGTTGCATGTTCGCTTAATTTGTTGTAATTGTATATTTAAATATGTTCATATTATCTTTTTATTCAATGAAATTAACATGTACATAAATACATCTCAAGGCGATAAAACATATATATATTGATATATATTTTCATTTTCTAATAAATTTTTTTTTTTGTATAATCATATTATTAAATAAAAAGACCACTTGTTTAACCATATTATCAAATAAAAAGACCACATCACACACAATTTATTCTATAGTAATTATTCTTGTTCAATATTCCTCCTTAATTATGCAAAACAATCACACACAATTTATTCTATAGTATTTATTCTTGTTCAATATTCCTCCTTAATTATGCAATACAATCACACACAATTTATTCTATAGTATTTATTCTTGTTCATTACATTTTGTGGGAAATATTTACATTTCCTTATATTTTCCTAAATTTTTTATCATTTTCATATCATATTTTGCATCATTTATTTATTTATAACTATTTAATAAAAGTGTTCTTTTGAAAGTGATTGATTTGTGTTTAATTTAAGGAAGAAGACAGATAAAATGACTTAATTCACACGATTTTTAATTATTTTATATAAATATTAAATAAAATTGCAATCACTATATATATTAGCTTTTATTTATGACAGTCTTTTAAAAATATCTTAATAATATTTTGATTATAAAAGTAAAATAACAGTTTCTTTGATTCCTTATAATGAATGAAATTACATTTAAATCAAAATAGAAGATAAGTAAAATATTTTACCTCATAGTTTTAATTTAGGCTTATATTGTTAAAATATTAGACATATAAAGATTTCCACTATACATTTAGGTACATTATTTTTATCAAATTAACTTGGGAAACCAAAATAGTTATTTAGATTAAGTTATCAAATTATATTAATAACTAAAAAAAATCCAAACACTTTCAATTCAATTACCTGTAATTCTTTAACAACTACACTCAATTAATATCTTGCATTTATGCAAAATAAATTTGCAACAAGTGAAGTACATTTTTTTCAATAATCAGATTTTCAAAATAAATTTATGGTTCTCCTCAGAGCTGGTTTAATCGATTTTAGACCCAAACCCCGGGTCTGGGTTTTACACAACCAACCAATTAACACACTACTTTTACCTTTTCCTCAGCTGCCTATAATAATTTGTATATTTATTTCTTAATATAGATGTCCTTCACTGTATTATAACAGCAGCAATAATTCACCCAAAATTTAAGTGAAATTTGTTTTACATAATCTGCCACAAAATCTGCTTGTAGAAAGGTTAATTAGTCACTTGAGAAAACTGCAGGAATACCACATACAGGTGTTTATCTATATTATATTTTTTCGATGTCCTCGCTAAGTCATGTCATCTGTACGTATCAATTATTATTTTTTTATTTTTTTACGTAAATAATTTTTTAAACTGGATAAAAAAAGCTAAATAGCAAAATAAACCACCTAAAATATCTTCTAACCTAGATTTTCATTCAAGTATATGATATTCAAATAGTATTCAAGTAAATTATGTTCTAATGGGTTATATGAAATTTTAATAACAATGTTGTGAAGATTGATGAAAAACATTTCCAGATTTTTTATTTTATTTGCAAATAAAATATTGTGAGTTGCAGAAAATTGTTACAATAACATTTATATATAAAATTAAAGAATATAAGGTTCTTTTCACAACTTTAACTGGTTTAGCCAGTTTTTTTAATATATCATATAAGTGAACAGCGGAATTTAATAAATATGTCAAATTAAAAGATTAACACAGTAGCCCCAATGAGATGGAAATATAATGATCGGCTTGTTCAAACAGTTTTCAATTATTCGAAGGATCTAGTGGTTTTTTTGAAACTATGATTGATGGGGAATCTTATATTGTTTGGGATAATGATGTTCTAATAACATCTCATGGCTATTTAAATATATAATGATGTAAATTTTCTAACTTTATTAAATTTTATTATAGAAATTTTACCAGAATCTGATTTATTATTTGATAACTACAAACTAAAATTAACAACATATCGTATTGTGTAAAAATGTTAACGATTTCAGAAATTCACTTTAATGTTTTTTGAAGAGATTTAAATGTAAAAGAGAATATTGAAGACAATTTAAATAAAAAACATAATAAATCCGGATTGCCCATTATAAAATGACTTTATAAAATTTGATAATTAAAATAAGAGATAAATCAATAAAATTGATTTTCTGTTCGATACATTAAAAAATATTAAATTCTTCGAATTGCCAGATATTAGTAATTTCCAAATATTTAATCAAAATTTTCCTTATTGCAATTTTTTAACATTAAATAAAATATAGAAAGCAATGAAATATATCTAAGGCTTGATTGCTTAATCTTTAAATAATATTATAATTAGAAATAATCATTAGAATACAAATACATAAAATTATAAAAAATATAATAAAAAAATCGGATGAAAAAGATTACATAATTTAATTTAAATTATATGGGTCGGACCAGATCGATGGTTCAGTGGGTTAGCTCTGGTTTAAAATTGTTTTTGTGCTCAAGCCTTGCTCAGTTTTTGGCAAAAACCTGATCCACCAATTTAATAACACAATGTAATCATATAAAATTATTCAATTCTTTATTTTTATCATAATGTTTTTAATTTTTTAAATTTAGTTTTATCATGGTTTTATTTATTTTTTATTATATTTCCTGATAATAAAATGATATAATTGTTAATATACATGTATTTATTTGTGCATATATATACACTTTTTTAAATTTAATTAATCTGTTTTGATGATTAGTGTAGATTAATTCAATAATAATTTATAAATAATTCAAAAAAATGTAGCAGTAACTTATTGTAAATTAAACCAGGGTTGTGTATTTGACTGGTCATAAAGTTTAGGTTAATTGACGATATTTGACCGGTTATAATTAAATGTTTTTTTTAAAAGGCAATATTAATTTTATTTTGTATATAATAGTAAAATAATCTATAATACTAAATTTATAATATTTCTTAAATTAATTATTATTCAATAACTTATGTTTAGCTCTAAATGGTAAAGTATTGTTCTGATTCATATTCAATATTATTATTTCTTTATCATTTTTTAAACAATTTTCCTGTTGTCGAGATCTTCGATCCATTTCTGTTTTAGTAAGAATATTAACCCAAGTCAACCTATTTCTTTCTTAAGAATAGAACTAGGAATTATTAATAAAATGTCACTTCTCTTAATGGGCATGTTGGTCAAAGCTCATTACACTAACTCGAGGCCAGAATCTGATGGCTTCTTGTGGAAATTACTGATTTCCTTGCTCTTAAACATGCCGCGTTTACATCTAAAATTTATTATATCACTTGAACACTGGAGTATCCAGGATTTAGATAGGAGGAGGGGGTGGGGAGCAATTAGGCAAATATTTTTCCCATAGAAATTCGAAATTTTAAAGTCCACTTATTGTAGGGCTTTGGCTATATTTAGGGTTTTTACATTTTTCCTTTTATTAAAATGCTTTTTTTCTAAAAATTTTATTTTATAGTCGTTATTTAAAAATATTAACTTTTACTAATTTTTCTTTCATATTCTTACTTATAATGATATATTGTCCAAATTATTTTGAGAGAGGGGGTGGTAGGGGGGGGGGCGAATATTTTATTTGCTATAATATTTACGAGAACGCAAATTTGCGATGGGGGATCCCCCCCCCCTGCATCTGAAATACTTTCATCACCATCCTGTAAAATGACTTATTCATGTAGAGTATTTGTCAAATATTCCACCATTCAATTGATTTTAACCGGTCAAACAATCTGCCAACCCTGAATTTTAAAATTCATCAAACAGAATATGTGTAAAATTTAAGAATTTGAGATGAATAAAAAATTCACCTAAGAATCAATAATTTGTACTTACTTTAGTTTTTTATGATGGTGCATTATTTGGATTCATGACTTTGAAAAATAAATCAACAAAAAAAATTCTGGTAAAATAAAAGTGAAATTTTATTTTTAACTTAATATCACTGTTGACATCTATTATAATATTTAATTCAAATTATATTTAAAATAATAATTATTAGTGCAGAATGATTTATGTTTACTAAATATTTTATTATGTGAAAAGAGAGAAAGGAATAAACCATCTTAAATTTATCATGTTTTTATTAAAATATTTTTTTACTTAAAACTTTGTGTAGCAAACTTAATATTACAAGATTTAAATACATTTTCTATGCCGTATTTCCACCCGAATCACATCGTTTCTCACGCACTCATTTGCTAGAAAGAATGTGCAAAGCTAGAAAGGATTATAAGTTACCACCTTTAACAGACTTTCTTTTGTCTAGAAAAAAAGCTATTTTTAATTACATATCAAATGATATGGAACTTGTAAATTTAATTGATATAAATTATTTAAAATCTTTATTTAATGATCCTTTATTAAAATGGATATATGATATTTGTGTTCAAAAATTAAACAAAACTTCAAAGATATCAACTAATTCTTTTTCAAATGAAATTATTAAAAACTTTATGAATGATCATAAAAAATTAATAAAACATAATAAAATGAAAGATTGGCAACCTAATTCAACTGATCAAGAATCTAGAAACTTTGATAGAATATTGAAAAATAAATATAAAATATCTGAAACTGGATCTTATCCACTAGAAACAACCAAGCAATTAAAGGTAAAAAATGTTTTAACTCTGATGGCACAAAACTCAGGTGGTCCACTTGATTATTTGAATGATTTGCTAATGAAAAGTTATCAATATATTAGTAACATGTATAGAAATGATCTTAATTCATATGAAAATTCTAAGGATATTTCACCTAAGCGCATACGAATATTAACACGAAGTCACACTTATATAAGAGGATATTGTGATGGATATTTGGAAGCATTTGATAAGCATTGGAATATTGTATTATGTGATGTTGATGAGTTTTATATACTACCAATCAAAAATATAAGAAAAAACACACAATTAAATAGCCATAAATTAAATTCACAAGATATAAAATATGTTCAAAAATTATCTCATTGCAATTTTAACTCAAATATGACCAACATGATTAGTGCATTAAATATATCATCACCAAAAAATAAAATATATCAAGGTGGATGTAATACAAATATATTACATAGGAGACGACATCTATCTAAATTATTTCTTAGAGGTGATAATATAGTATTAATTTGTAAATCACCATATTATTAAATTTTTATTAATTTTTAATGATTTTAAATTAATAATATATGATCATGTTTTATATAATAAGGTTAACTACATATTTGTGACATATTTAATAATATAACAAATTATAATATATAGTTCAAAACAAATAAATTAACAAGAAATAAAAAAAAAATTATTGCTAACCACTCAAAATTAAATGTCTAAATGTTTTAGGTTCATTAACTCTATTTAATTTATTTTCTTCATTTGCTTTGCCTATCAAATCTTTTTCATCACTTTGGTGGGTAGTACCTAATTCAATGTTGAAACCAACCTTGTCCAATTTTTGTTTATTATCCTTACTAATTGGCTTCACATGAATATTGTTTACCGATTCCATTGTTGGCTCTGAAATCATATAAGCATCTATATGGCCTTTATATTGTGGAAATTTTCTCCTGAATCTCTCTCTTTTGCCAATGGAGGGTTGTGTACTACCTTTTTTAAGTCTGTGGCCATGGTGATGCCAGGATCCATGTCGTAACCATGGACCTATAGTTGATTTGGTCATACTATTGTAGTCTGTTCTATATTCATGATGCTTTTGTCCCTGTTTTATACATTACATATTTTTAAACTATGTGTCCATTGACATTTTTTATATTAAAAAAAATAAAATAATTTTTTCAATCCTTAATAAAAAAGTTGAATCAGGGACAGAAATGTTCAAAAGTCACAAAAAACACTTGACAAGAATAACCACACAAAAAGACAAAAATACCCCAATTTTTCAAAAAAAAAAATTAAACACCAAAAAAGGGAAAATTTTAAAAATTACTCTTTAAGCATTTAAATATATCTCTACTTGGATATTTCTGTTCCGTGCTTTTTTGTACAGGATCTTTTTGGTTCGTGATTCAATAAAAATATTTTGTGATTAAGAAAATAATGATATGCCTGAAATGCATATAATTTTTTTTTGGAATGGTTAAAATTTCGTTATTCCAAATAATTTTTAAAGGGTTGAAATAGGAGATTGATATGAAAAGCAAAATTTTAAATTTTTCATCATTTGACTACAATTTTGGATATAAATTAAATTGATTCTAACAAATTAGTCATACCTAGACCTGTGCGCTATTCGCCACGCCAAAAACTCCCATTTGAGTTGAGCCACATACAGGTTTGTCACCTATTTTTAATTCAGCGATTTTGCATTGTGGAAAATGTTTAAAATGCTATTTAATTATATTTTTAAAATTAAATATGAATATCGAAAAGTATTTGTTTTGGTTCAAAATTCGTATCTAATACAAATAATAATTTAAATTTTCGTATTTTTTGTAAATTTTAGTAAAATTTGAATCAGTTTCCTGCTCGATTTGAGATTTTTAAAAAGACTAACTCAATAGTTTAGCTAGAAAAATATTGTCTAAGCCTCAAGATTTTGCTAATAAATGTCATAACCTTTGTGCCATTTTAGAGTAAAATCTTCAGGCTGAGTAATATTTTTCTGGATAAAATATTGAGCTAGTAATTTTAAAAATAGACTCAAATTGAGCCATTTAAACACTGCACGCAAATCAAATATTTTAAAGAAAAAACAATTAAGAAAACCTTATGCCTTTATAAAAATAAATATATTTTGAATTCCGTTATTTTTATTATGATTTTATTTTATGTACTACTATGAATTTTTCAATAAATGTAATAAGAATTTGAAGTGGTAATCTCAGAATTATCCTGGTCCCGACAAAAATATCATAGATAAAATAAATAGCAAACAAAAAAACACTTGGAAAATAAAATCTTCCCCGACATGTGATTAAAAATTATTTTCACGATATTAAATTCGCATAAATATTGTCAATATTTTTATAATCGATAAAATTCAGATTATTTTATTATTTGGAATTTATATTTAGTCATAGTAATTCTTATAAAAATATTTAGTACTAAAAATATAGGAAATTTTAAAGTTATTTTTGTGGTGTTAAAATTCATTTAAATTTCTTTACATTTATTGTTTAAATTTCAAACTCAAGGTAGTTTAAAATTATTTGATAAAAAATACTTGTCTCGGGATAACACTATCCTTGGTCTCCCCTACATTTAGCGAAATATTCTCTCTTATTTCGGAGAATTAGAGAAAATTATATATTTATATAGGGAAGGGCATGGAAAATATTTAAGAGCTCTAATAAAAATAATGGAACTGTGCCTAAATAAATTGTATCATTTATCAAAATTATAAAGTCCTCCGCCGTTCCGCCAATTTATTAGGCCACGGTGTATTCAGCGCGCTGGCAACTGCCAATGCAAAATAACCCCCCACCCCGTCTATTTGTATCTGAGCGCACAGGTCTAGTTATACCATTTCTTTTTTATATGCACCTGCAGGTCTCTGGTGTGGTATATATTGGAAATAAAATGGTAAACGGTAAAAATTAAATTTTAATAGCTTGCTTATTAAAAATTCGATCCAAGAGTTTCTTTAACAAAAATCATATACTTCTATTATTAAACACATACAGTTATCGTTTATTTACCGATATAAATCCACTGCGATAATCGGGAGTATAGTCATCACCGCGAAATCTGTCACCTCTATAGCTATCACGATGTCTGTGACGCCGATCATGCAAAAACAAATCTGGCAAGAAATGAATCATTTTGATCCAAGCCAACTTGATACTTTTTTTCCCAGCGACTGTAGTTAATGTTAAAGGAGTGGTTGACCACCAGTCATAGGTGGGTTTCTTGTAACGCTGGCTTTTACCTAATTTAGGACCCGGGATAGGCCTGGGATGGCTGTCCTTTTTTCCTCCCAGGAGATGAGGCTTGTGTCGATGAAACGGGATTGTGGGATAAGGTTTGCCTCTTAGCGATAATTTAGGGTTTTTGGTTCTTGTCTCAGGATGAAGGCAGTTATAATGACCCCAGTAATTCCAAGCGCAACTGGAAGAGTTTAAAAATAGATAGAAGGATTTATAATTCAAAAGTCCTTAAAATCCAAAATAATATTTTCTCGGAATGATTTATTTCTTATGTGACAATAAAAGATTTTTTTTACCCAGGAATAATGTAATTGGGTTGATTTATTTTAGGCAACAAATTATTTGGAATCAATTCACTGAATAGATTTCTTGCCTTCGGATCAAATCTATCGCTATTGATATGTCCCACCATGCCTATACTTTTGCCAATAATTGTATTAGACAACTGGGGTTGTAAATTGTAACCTGTTACAAACTAATAAAGTAATAAAAAGTAATCGTAGAATGTTATAATTGTCAATAGCAAACCAAGAGGGGGGGAGTTTCCCTCATAAAAATTTACCTACCCCCTTCACAAAAAATGAGTACAATTTTATAAAAAATGATATGGTAAAAAAAAACCAAACATAAGTTCATCTTCACCTTACAAAAATTTTAGATATGATTATGCTATAAATATATACTTTAAATATTAAATTGCGATCGATTAAAATATTAAGATTTAAGTATGCATAAATCCGCCCGGCATCCAAATTTGAACCCGGTAAGACCCGGTTTAAATTTTTTACTTAAGTTGCCCAGTCCGGTTTTTTAAACAAATATATATTTATGGAAAATTGGTCAATAATGATGAGGATTTCGGTTTCATGATTTTCATATTTTAAAGCAATAAACACTAAATGTAGAAAAATCGTATTTATTAATGATAAATCATAAGCAATAAATAAAATTTTAAGCAAAATAAAAGATATTATTCAAACAAAATTAGTCTTTTGATTAATTTTTTTCTTCTCAATTAGGCCCGCCGAGCATCTCAATTTTTTGCCCGCACGGCCCCTTAAAATTTTTGCCGGGCTGGGGAGCAGGGTATTCTAGATATCTATATACGGTATATGCTAAAAGTTATGTCTGCAGTTTTGGTTAATAAAATCATAACAATTCAATTAAAGTTTTGATATTTTTTTAAAGGATTTGTTTGGGTTCAAAATGAGATAATGCTGAAAAATTATTGAATTGATTAATTAAATTTATCTTAGATCTGTTATGAAAAATAAGTAAAATCTATTATGTAATAATGTAATTTTTTTTACCCATACTTTTTTGATATAAATTGTAAATATTATTTGAGGGATGAGAGTCCTATATTTAAACATTGTTTAAAAAAATCGTATTTAAATCAAAGAATAAAATTTTGTATGAAAATTAAAAAAAAATAATATTTATCAGATCGACTAATTCCCATTTCATAAAAAAAATTGTTTATAAAAAATAATCAATGAACTAATTGAACAAGTTAATGTAAATATAAAACAAAAGAAAAATTTAACATAGCACCACCGTCATTAAGGCGATAGCATTGTGTTGTATATTTTAATGAAGCTAATAAAACAACATTAAACTTAATTTTCGTTCAATTCTTGACTTACATTTGTGTAGGTGATACGATATTAGCTATATAATGTCATATAAATTTGAAAAAAAATATGTTTTAATATAAACTAAAACTTTTAATAAATTTATTCCTATGCTTTCCGATATTCCTTATTCACTTCGAAAACTCGACTTAAAAGTCAAGGAGATTTACAAACATTCACTATTTTAAAAACTCCTTAATGGAAGTTTGCGATAATTGATGGTAATTATTTTTGTTTTGAAGTTAATGGAATCTACATTTCATAAGAAAAATTAAATTTTAATTAGGATAATTTTTAAAAAAATTATTTTTTATAATCAATTATGGTGGAGGTTGTTTTTTTTAAAGAAAAAACTTGCCAATGATTTTATACCAAATCCATTATGATTTTTAATGCATATTTACATATCGGTTAATTCAAAATTATGTAAATATGGAAAGGTGGTACGTTGAGGACTATGGCACATGATAGAATGAATCGAAAAATAGAGGATCAACATAAGACAAGTTTTTCTTATGATTCGATTACAACAAAGAGAATAAACTGATATATAGTTTTCAATATACTTAAGAAAAAGGCGCTTTAAAACACTTTATTTGAGGCATAGAAATATTAGACCTAGTTTTCACGCCTAAAATCCTTATAGTGCTCGGGGAAAAACTTGAAAAAACTAGTGGAACAAGAGAGCAGGTAAAAAGATCATTTAGTTTTATTAACTGATTCACTTTCGTGGGAAGAATTAGGTAAAAAATTGTAATTTTTTTATATTAATAGTCTAAATATGACAAGAGATAAGAATTTTATTTGGCGAAGCCCAATACCCGAATTTTTAGTTCACAATCATTTCGATTTTCGTAAATTATTTATTTATCCGTTCTGGAGTTTTATTTGTTTATTAAGAACTCAATATAATTAAAATACCTAACTTGCAAATTACCACGAAACAAAATCTAACACTTTAATATGTAGCGCAGCTATTCTATCTATTTTTAGTATAACTTGAGTAAATTAATATATTTTTTATTCAATAGAGTGATGTGCATAGGGTTGCGAAATCTGGGTAAATAATTTTGGAAACATAATGTTAAGAGTAAAAATTTGATTTCAAGTTAATAATTTTTAAAAAAATTCGTTACTTCTTATTTGTCATTTATGATTCACGATTGATTACTAATATAATTTGAGTAACAATATTTCTTTAAATGACTTAGTTTGAGCACGTAAAATATAATTTATCAAGCAAAATTCTATAAATAATAGTGGGTTCGACCTCCGTATCAATGACCTAAAAATTTTCAACGGGTTTAATTTAGGAAAGAAATTCAGACTCAACTTAATAAATTGATATAGCTAAACCAGGAATCCCTTTAAAGCTGCAAATTGCCTACCTCAAATATTTTATTTTCAATCACAATAGATCCTGAGCTAAAAAATAGTTCCTAATGAGATCGGGCGTGCATTTTCCCCAATTTATGAAAAATATGGCGAACATATTAAGGGAAGTTAAAATCAATACCACTTTTGCCTAGCATAAATGAAGATAAAAGTATAAGAACGAGCCTTGGAAAACTTAAAACATAAATCAACCTAATCAATGTATCTCCCACCTTCATCTAACCATACATAGGGGAGACTGGGATTAGGTAAAACCCGGAGCTTGGCAAACCACTTAATCTCATTTTAAAATAAATTACACCAAAAGGTTAAAATTATATGCTAATATATTTTTATTAGTTTACATCTATAGACAAAAAATCTTTTGAAATATTTAATTATTAAAAATTTATTTAAAAAATAAAATTTTCAAAAGATTTTTACATGACTGAATTTTAATTTTTACTAAAATATATAATAATTTATATGTAAATTAAATTTTATAGCAAAGTTTAAACACTCTTCTATAATTTGGGAAGTTTTATGCGTATTTATTATATCTAGATATTATTTCAATCATAATTTGTCAATTTAGAGCTAGCGGGCTAACATACACGTCAATTATGGCAGTTAATAATGAAAAAAATTTCAAAATCTTGAAAAGGCAATTTCATGGCTGTTTTATAAGTGGTATTTAGGATTTATGCTAAGAAATCATAATCTCACCTTAATATCCTTATTTTTTTATGTCCAAGATCTTTATTAAATTAACCAAAATAGTTTCACTTTTTAAATATAATTAGCATCAATTCATAAGTATTATATTTTGAACAATAAAACAATAAAATTATTCTACGTATCGTTATTGGTAAATAAAAATGCATTTCAATTTATTATGGCCTAAAAAAACCAAAGGTTTAGGAAACCCCTTGAAATGGTTTGCCACACCCCGCTATTGGGGCTTGTTGGACAAAATTTCCACTTTTACAAAAAATAAAATTAAAAAATATGATTATATTCTTAAAATTTCTTATAAGGCACTTTTATAGAGTATAGTTTTAGGTATCTAATCATATATTATTTTTTATATTAAAAATTGGTTCAACTAACCCCAGTCTCCCCTACCACCCAATTCTAAAATCCAATATTGAATACCTAATGAGTGTACCTAAAGACCAAGATCTATGCCATTGACTTCGTTTATAACAAAAAATACAAAAGCACACTATCATGAACACATTTTTCAAAAAATAAACCAACTGAGAGCAAAGGAAACAACATATCGGAATCCCCTTTCTATTTCACCTGTGTTGTAGAGGTTATTACTTTCTGATATCAGCTGGCCAATCAGGATACATGAAAATGATAATGGCTTATTTTTCAAAACATATTTCAAACATAAAAATTATGACATCAGGAGATGGAATAACTCTTCGATTGGACACTAGATAGATATAGGTTTTTTATTCATTGAGAGGTCTTTAATCGAAGTTTTTGTTTAGTTGGCTTAACCAACTAAAGATTAAGTCATTTAAATAATGCGAATTATATACTGCTAATGCTATATGAAACAGGGTGCTAATCTTCCTTATTTTTTTATATTTAAAACATTTTCCAAATTCTTGGGATATCACTATAAAAAATGGAATTAGGAGATTTTTCACTCGACAAATTATAAAAAAATAATTTAAAGTTTTAAACATTCCTTAGAGAGAGAATAGAGGGGGGGGGGTAAATTAACGTAGGCCGATATTTAGTAAAACAGACAAATTTCCGAAGTGAAAACAAGAAAATTTGTGGGAGATTCTTTTTTAACAAGTTTTTAGATTTCCTATAAAAAACCCTTTCACGAATAATGCTAGATTCTTATATTTATTGTATTAATTCATATTGAATTTTTATCACCAGGAATCAGATGATTCAGCATTGGTTCACATCATAGGGGCAGCGGGGTTCTCTCCCGCATTGACAAATTTGTATAGGGGCGGTGTACCCGAGGAATTATTATATCTCATACAAAAATGAAACAAAGAGAAAAAAAACACTAATTATTATATTATTTCTATAAAAAATACTTAAATTCTTATATCTTATCTAAAAATAAAATAAATAAAAAAACAGTGATTATTTTATTTCTATATTGCTATGCTCTTTCGTTTCCTCTTCTGGGAGCCCCAAAAAATAGACAAATTATTATATCTTGCCGTTATGTAGTAGAGGATTTAAATAATGAAATACTTTTAGGATTTTATGAAGCATCGGAAACAAATTCTTAACATTTATTTAACATACTCAAAGATATATTATTCTTTCGACATCAAAAAATGCAGCTAAGCTACTGCAAAAATTCGAGATTTTATAGTATTAATGATAGATTTATATCTTTTTGTTCGATATTCTCCTAAACGCCATAAAATGATAGTACAACTTTTTAAAGTCCATTATGCCCTACACACTGGCGTATAGAAATAATATCAATAAAATACTTATCAAAACTCTTGTAGTATTGCCTAGAATTTTATCAGGATTTCTATTTTATACTTATCATTTTGAAAATATAATGAAGAACTTTGGATTTCGGCTTTTAAAATTTCTACCACAAATTTTGTTCTCATTCTAAGGAATAAAAAATTTTCAAAAAGTTTTATTTGGTAAAATAAATATTTTGCTCTTGTAGCAACCACACTATGAATTGCATTTATAATTTCTAATAAAAATTTATTGTTCTTAGGGAAGGTCTCAATTTAAATGCATAGGAATTAAATTTAGAGGACATTTAAAACGATAGGAAAAAAACGCCCTGATTTGTAGAAGGCTCGAATACCATTATTTCGGTCAGTTAATGAATATGATAGACAAATTTATTATAAAATTTTAGATTATACAAATGCATGTATAAAATTTTAGATTATACAATTGCACGTATAAAATATAGTTTCAACAAACCAGTAATGGATCATTTAATATGGATTGCGATTCAAAAATTTTTGGAAATCATGTTTCAATATTATATGGATATGATTTTGAAATGGAGCGTCTGATTCTTCAGAGAAATGTTTCAGGACTACTCATAGTTGAAAATTATACACATATCTTTAGAGGGCGTCATAGCTATACTAAATGAACGAAAGTAAGAAAGAAATTATTTCGTTTTTCTCAGAGTGTGCAAAATTTTAATAAAATGCTATTAACTATCTCTCTGAGTACTTGTTCTGCATAACGACCATTGTCAGGACTAACACGTTTTAAATCCTATTTAGGTTCTATGATGCAACACTTTACTAAATGATATTACAATTTTAGATGTTAATGAAGACAAAGCAAAAGAACTAGATTTTACTGAGATAATATAGATTTTTATAAATAAAAATGAAATAAGAAGAAACACATTTTAAAAATATATTAA